AAACTCTTTTACTTCTGGCCTTTCTTTTGGCTTCATTCTCCTCTGAGCTTTCTTTCGACATATTGATTTCGGAAAGGGGTTCCATCGTAAATAGAGTAAATATAAATACAAATATAAATATAAGCTTGAATAAAAAATTGTGTTGTTATCTTTCGCTATTTCTATACGTAATAACAGGTGTAAAAACGTTCTTTTACAAAAGTTTAATAGCCCAATTTACCTTTATGTGTACCCGGATGTTGCAACGCGTCGACATTCCCGCCAAAAAAAAAAAAGATAATCTAACCAGCCAATCGGGAATCTTGCGTACACGGACGGACGTACGGACGGAAGTGACGTCAGCCAAGCCATGAAAAATCAACTCGATGGTTTACCATTTTTTCTTAAGTATGGTGCTCCGCTCGCGCGGTAGCTCCGCTAATAATTCATCCAGTAAAGAATTAACTCATCTCAAGGTCAAATATCTAAATATTCAACCTGATGAGCATGCGCACATCAACTAACGGTTCAACTGGGTTTTTCGTACCGGCTAAAAATTTTTTGGAGCCAGAGCTTTTCGTTCCTTGGTGCTGACCATGAGGAACGCATGCTCTGAGAAGAAGTTTGTGAACTTGAGAAATCTTTTCATTTGTTTAAAAATCAAATGTCCAAGGAAAATAATCATATTTCGTTAAAAAAAAGATTTAAATGTAAGTAGCAGTAGATCAAATGTGATTTAGCTTCAATTGGAATATCTCATTCAGTAGCATGACAAAAAATAAAATATCAAAGGAAAATATGATGAAAACGTCCATAATCTCTTATAGCTATAAACAAAGTTGGGGACCCCACTTTTTTATTTCGGTTGATGAAAGTACCTTATGGTAGCCCCTTTTAGAGGAAAAATTTAAAAAACTGACGATGGGATCAAATCGAAATTACATATTTTGTGCATAATTGGAATAGAATTTCACGTGACATGAAGGCTCCAAGTCAACACTTGTTCCCCAATAACATTTTATTTTTATTTTTTTAGCACAAATTTTAAATGCTAACTAATTGTTTCGTTATTAATGCGACGATCAATTTATTTTTTCAATAAAATATGGCTTGTTTTTGTCAGTGTTCCTTGTTGACGTTGTTCGCGCGTTTTTACCGTAAAAAGAGTGAACTTCCACGCATTCTGGCAGCTAAACAAAGTCGGGGACCCCCATTTGCTGATTTTTTTACTTCTAGTATGATGTACTTTGATCGTTCAAAAATTTTTAAAAAATCTGACGATGGAATCTTTTGCCCATGAATGTCCTTAATCATGTCGAGCATAATTTGCCTTAAAACACTTCACTCAATCAAAAATTGCTTTAACATACCACATCCCTCTTGCTTAAACCATTTAATAAAAAAGGATGTTTGACTTTGTTCAAGTGTAATAAGAACTAGCCACTTATATTTAAGAGGAACCAATTATCCAGTATCCTTAGCCTTAAAACTTATTTTTGATTATCTCTATTTAAAAAGGAAATCATGTCCTTTAACCGTTGAACTATTTTTCAGGAATACTGTATTGCGTCCCTATATTTTGAACCACTGGTGAATATCATAAATGCATAACTGAAGATGAAATAGTAGTATGTGGGGACTATGGATAGACGACTCATTATATTCATAGATTCAAGAAATGCAATAACCATGGAAACGAGAGCAAAGGGGAAAGGAGGGGAGGGGAGGGGGTGCAAAGGCGCGCTAGCTCAAGCCCAATCTTGAATGAACGAAAAAAAAAAGTGCATGCGCAAACCAAAAGATGAGGTGACGTCACTACATGCGCGCGCAAGTAAAAAAAACAACAAAATTTTTGAAAAAAAAAAAACGTTTATTTTGGAAAATGATTACAAGAAAGAATTACGGTTTAAAGATGGTCATAGGTTATACATTTTCAAGAGCTTTTTTAACACCATATCCAGCACCGGCGGCTATAGCACCTCCAGCGGCAGCTTTGGCAGCAGCAATAGCAGCAGGAATGAGAAACAGGGGTAAGAATCCTCCTCTTTGACCACGTCTTCGTCGTCTCAGT